CCTCGTTTGCTAATAAACAAGTAAATAAACAAGTTTATCTTAAATGAAATAACCTATAAAAACAAAGATATCTTTATTGATCACAGATAAAGAGAATCCATTAATATAAGTATTAAATAGATTTTTGATAAAGTTGTTTTGCCAAATGTTATTTCTAATATCATTAATTCTTACATAATTTAAGCTTGCAACATTCTTACATTAGTCGTAAATCTTAAACAAAATAGAAGAATACTATGTTGCTTTATCCAGATAATTCTAAACTTTTTTATGTTCATTACAATTTTAAAAATAGCAAATGTTATTGATTTATAGTCGGTGAAGTAATGAAGTTTTTCCAATATTTTTTCCGTTGGGTGTATTATGTATTAAATGTTTAAAAGTAATTAGCTTGAAACGTTAACTTACAATACCGCAACGGTCACCTTTCTCCCCCTTGGTTCACGTTCACGTAGGTCATGCTCGGTTAAGGTTGATTCACACTATAGTTCAACGATCGTGCTTTAGAAGCATTATACGGTCCGCCATTTTCTTTGGCAGTGGTGCACAAGATGGCGGAGTAGTGGAAAACGCACCACTTGATTGACTCGGTGGTCTTTGATTGACAATTCAAGTTTGGAACTTGAGAAGATTTGGAAATTTGGGAGATTTGGGGACTTAGGGCCGCCATTTTCTTTGGCAGTGGTGCACAAGATGGCGGAGTAGTGGAAAACGCACCACTTGATTGACTCGGTGGTCTTTGATTGACAATTCAAGTTTGGAACTTGAGAAGATTTGGAAATTTGGGAGATTTGGGGATTTAGGAGACTTGGAAATATGGGAGATTTGGGGATTTAGGAGATTTGGAAATATGGAAGATTTGGGAATTTAGGAGATTTGGGGATTTAGGAGATTTGAGGATTTAGGAGATTTCGGAATTTAGGAGACTTGGAAATATGGGAGATTTGGGGATTTAGGAGACTTGGAAATATGGGAGATTTGGGGATTTATGAGACTTGGGAATTTAGGAGATTTGAAGTATGGGAGATTTGGAAATTTAAGAGACGGGGATTTAGGAGACTTGGAAATATAGGAGATTTGGGAATTTAGGTGACTTGAAAATATAGGAGATTTGAGAATTTAGGAGACTTGGAAATATAGGAGATTTGGGAATTTAGGAGATAGATGGTGGAATTTAGGAATTTGTAGAGTTTGGGACTTTGAGATCCTGAAATTTAGAAATGGAAGAATCTCGAGGGTTGGAATTCAATTTAGGAATTTAGCAAATTTGAGAATCAAAGGACTCAGGAGTTGGAATTTGGAGATTGGAGTATTTGAAACTTTGACAATTTTGAAATGACAAAACTTGAAAAATATGAGAATCAAGAAAATTTGAAAACCTGTAAACTTAAAAATTTCAAATTTGCTTTCAAATTACAAATTTTACTTTCTCCCAAAGCTTCATTCAAGAGCACTCACCCTCCAATAAAAAAAGGCTTTGATTTCCAAGTCGTTCCAACTGCAAATTTTTCAGAGGGACTGTACCTCGACTCGTCTCTGAAAGGCCATATACACACACGGTGACGTGTGAGTAACGCACTCACGCGTGAAACGTAAGTGTGGTTAGACGATGTGTATAGACACGCATGAATGTGCATGGATCCGAGAAGATAAGGGACGTACGTGTGAATGGACGAAGCGTCACCTTGAAAAAGAGTAAGTGTCGAAAGAACGTCTTATCTGCGACATTGTATGTATGTAATGGATACTTAAGTACATATGACGAGTGCACGAATAGGTGGCGTTCGTGTCAATTTGTAGCTCGTTTGCATAAATAACTGATACGTGGAAAAAGAAATATAATGTAGGATCGCTTTATTCTTTGGTGTAAATAATTGTTGTGATAAGCAGTGATCTGTTGAGAACCGTTAAGGTCCATTGGAACTAAAATTAATCTCTGGGGAGAATAATGGAGGAGTCTCTCTAGGTACTTAGAAGAAAATTTAAGTAGTATTCGACTGGTATTTTGTAATTGACTCTATTACAGTATTAAACAAGGTTAATACTGTAATAGTAATTACTGTAATAGTTTACTATATGTAATAGTTTTATTACTGTTTTATTTAAGCTACTTTCATTACATTTCTGTGAGAGCTATTTTACTTTCAGTACAACAAAATGGCTGTGACGTCAGTTAGAGGTTAAACTTGTGCAAGACATTGATCTACTACATTCTATAATCTAGATCATAACTCAGAAAGTACAAGATATTGTTGCTACTATATTCATACAAAAATTAATGTAAGGATAATGAACCATAAAGTCATAGACTTTTGTGAGTCATTAGGTTCCATTAGTAACATGTTTACCACATAATCTCCCACTTGTCACAGAAGTTGCGTTGTTTACCTTTTCACGTTGTTCTAATTTCTATATAATTAATGCATGGAGGGCAGAAAAATCAAGCACATTATGAAATATGTAATTTCATAGTTGAACGATTTATCCGTCAACAACATATGTTGCAACCAACTAGTCTAAAGTATTTATTCCACCTTCCGTGTGAATTAGTGTAGTCATTTATCATTTTCAACGCCGAATTTTAATGCGTTGGGTGCATTTTACTTTGCTGGGTTATTTGGGAGTTTGGGGATTTGGGAATTTGGGGATTTGGGGATTTGGGGATTTGGGAATTTGGGAATTTGGGAATTTGGGAATTTGGGAATTAGGGAATTTGAAGATTTGGGATTTTGGGAATTTAGAGATTTGAGGATTTGAGAATTTGGGGACTTGGGGATTCAGGAATTTGAAAATTTAAGTATTTGCGAATTTGGGAATGTGGGAATTGGGGAATGTGAGAAGTGGGGAATCTGGGAATTGGGGAATGTGGGAATTGGGGAATGTGAGAAGGAGGGAATATGGAAATTGGGGAATGTGGGAATAGGGCAATGTGGGAATTGGGAAATGATGGAATTGGGAAACGTGGGAATTAGGGAACGTGGGAATTGGGGAATGTGGGAATTGGGGAATATGGGAATTGGGGAATGTGGGAATTGGGGAATGTGGGAATTGGGGAATGTGGGAATTGGAGAATGTGGGAATTGGGGAATGTGGAAATTTGGGTATTTGGGAATTTGTGACTTTAGGAATTTAGGGATTCTAAGGTTTGGGAACTTTGGAACTTTGGGTTTTGAGAATTTAGCAACTACGGAATTCAAGGACTTTATCCCAGGGATGTTGTTCAGGGAATTTCCAAGATGAACTAAAGAACTCTAAAACTTCAGAATTCAGAAAATTTCAGAAATACTGCAAATTCACTAATTTCACCAAACGAAGAAAATTTATACTAAAACCTTAAAATTTTACATCCTTGATAAATTCGAAACTCTGACACTTTAGAATTCAGACAATCTTGCACTTCAAAACTAGACTCTACAATTTTGAAATAATCTCCAAACCTTATTCCAAGAAGTAGGAATCCATTATCTAAGAGTCCACAAACATAACCCACGCACACACGTTTTATCTCGATAATGCACACAACATTGTAAGTGCACTCACCTATTTCCTCACCATACACTTCTTTCTCCCCCAATTCGTTCCTCTAAAAACAACACAAGTGATAGCTCATTACCAACACAATACGCGCTTTCATGCATTTCTTATGTAACTCCGAAAAAAAGTGAAGCGGCGAGAACATCTTTGATTTGTGGTATTCAGGTCGTTGGTAATCCTGATTAAATATTTACACGGGGATAACAATTTCTCATCGTGCTTACTATTTCGTAATAGAGGACAATTGCGTAACGAGCGCAAATAATGGATACATTCGTGTGCACACGAGGTCACGTATCCGTGAATGTGCGTATCGTCGAATCGTTAATGCTTATTTATGTGTGTACACTTATCTAGGAGAAGCACAAACATGCAATTCTGAATTTCTGTTCAGGCAAGATGCGTTTAATATGAATTTCTGTTCATGTAAGATACGCTTATTGATATCTAAGGTGGCATAGTTAAACAATTTTTGTTTCGATATTCTTTAAGTGTTTCTTACAGCAGGTAGTTATGGACTTGTAAATCATTTGGTGCCATCTTTTGAGGAATTTCATTTTTAACAGAATTTGTTTGGGAGAAAATTTAGTTGCCGAGCGATGGGTCAAGTTTTGAGTTGGTTCGTTGATGGTGGCCATTTTGTGGACAAACGTTCTTTCAAAGTTTATTACAGCACATGTGCTAATTATAGACTTGTCAATCATATCCTTCCATCATCTTTTAAAGAATTTCATTTTTAAAAGAATTTGTTTTGAAGAAAATTTAGTTATTCAGCGATGGGTCAAGTTTTGAGTTGGTTCGTTGACGGCGGCCATTTTGTGCACTAACATTCTTTCAAAGTTTCTTACAGTATGTGCTCTAATTGTGGACCTGTAAATCATATCATTCCATTATCTATTAAGGAATTCCATTTTTAACAGAACTTATTTAGAAGAAAATTTAGTTGTTCAGCGATGGGTCAAGTTTTGAGTTGATTCGTTGACGGCGGTCATTTTGTGTACAAACATTCCTTCAAAGTTTCTTACAGTACGAGCTCTAATTATGGACCTGTAAATCATGTTCCTCCATTATCTTCTAAATAATTTCATTTTTAATAGAATTTGTTTTGAAGAAAATTTAGTTGTTCAAAGATGGACCAATTTTTGAGTTGATTGATTGACGGCGGCCATCTTGTATCGTCATCGTATGAACTTGTAATATTAATAGGTTTTAAACAAATTCTACCAGATAGATTCTGCCAGATAAATTCATTTTTAACAGAATTTGTTTTGAAGAAAATTTAGTTGTTCAGAAAAGAATCACTTTTGAGTTGATTGATTGACGAAGTTTTGAGTTGATTCGTTGACGGCGGTCATTTTGTGTACAAACATTCCTTCAAAGTTTCTTACAGTACGAGCTCTAATTATGGACCTGTAAATCATGTTCCTCCATTATCTTCTAAATAATTTCATTTTTAACAGAATTTGTTTTGAAGAAAATTTAGTTGTTCAGAAAAGAATCAATTTTTGAGTTGATTGATTGACGACAGCCATCTTGTATCGTCATCGTATGAACGCACAGTAGTAATAGGTTTCAAACAAATTCTACCACACAGAATGATATAAAGTTACAGTCTTCAAGCTCTCGAATTTCGCTTTCGGCCGGACGTTTTACAATTTCGTCTAGCTAATAATTCCAGACGTAATAGTTGCTGGAATTCGACGCAGAAACGATTTATATGTCTGCTGACACGAGTGTTTGCAAAATGGACGCATAGCGCGGTATCATTTCCGATTTGCAATCACATTATTATAACTTGACTACTGTCGAAATAAAAAGGAAATTGTAATATCTTTATAGGTTAAGTTTTTGTGTAGGTTATTTTTTAAACACTTTTTGTGTATGTAAGACTTGTATAGAGATATTTTGTACTTGACTTTTGTACTTGAATAATTATATGATTGTTAAGATAAAATTATTTTGAGTATACAAGAAATGATTTATATGAGTTGTTTGACTTAATTATACAGATAAAGAAAATCTATCTTTGATTTCAATAGCGAAATTAAATAGATTTGCTGTGAATTAATTGCAGACATTATAAACAGGATACTCTGTTACCCAAAGCAGTTGACTATAATTGAATGCATACAGCTAATTAAGAAATAACCGGTGGCAGGTTTTGCAATTATTCAAATGTCACTGCAAGAAAAATGTTCTATTTTAGACTCGCAATTAGATGTGTGAGTGTCATTTAGATAGATAGCTAATTCGTTAATTTCTCAACTTCTTTCAGTTCTTCATTTCTTAATTTTTTAAGGTCTGAATTTTTTAATTTTTCAATCTTTCAATCGTTCCACTTCTCCCTTCTCCACTCCCCAAATTCCCAAAACCCCAAACCCGACAACATCTCCCACCTCCAAATTAATTCAAACTTCACAGAATTTATTCGAAAGATCTTTCTATAGCTTTGAAAATCGTATCGCATCAGAAACTCCCATTGCATCGGTACAAGAAGTGGAAGATCAAAATCCCTGATCTCGATGAGAGAAGCCCAGATATTCAAGATTAGGAGGGATTTACAAAAGGGATGTTAGGTATTCAGGAAAGCAGCCAGTCTCGTAGGAAGTCTGCTACGTGACGACGATGTCAAGTTCGAACAAAGAAACGAAAAACGATAATAGAAAGGTAGAGAAGGCTAGAGTGCAATAGGAAACAATGAACAAGAGGGCGCATAAATGAACGTTCTGAAAACATTTTCTGTCTTTGGCAGACGATGGGACTCTTGCACTTGCATATATTGCCGATGCTCTTCAATATTCTAGTTGCACTTTTCTTCTATTTACTTCTATTTTTAGAAGACTTCCTGTGCTTTTGAACCTCTTTGCTGATTCTACGGGTGAAGAAAATGGAGTAGGTTCATGTTTTATACGTAAACAAAATGGTGGATCATTAGCTTACATATGGAATTATATTTATTTTTTTATTTATTTCTATTTTTAGTTATGGGAATGTTACTTCTGCTGTTCTTCGAAAGGTTCTCACTGTCTCTATGACTGAAGAAAATGGAGTACCTTCAACTTCTATACGTAAACAAAATGGCGGACCATAATATTAGCTTGTTCCACATGGAATTATATATCTCTTTTATTTATTTATATCGTTAGTCAAAGGATATTCTACGTATGTCAAAGGTAATTCTACGTGTGAACAAAATGGAGTACATTCAAGTTTCATACATAAACAAAATGGCGGACCATATATCATTACGTTGCTCCATATGAACATATATTGGTCTTCCATTTATTTCTATTGTTAGTCAAATATAAAATTGGACCGATCTGAAATAACTTGTTATGTTTTTTGAAAGTTCTTGGCTGTTTCTACGAGTGAAGAAAATGGAGTACATTTAAGTTCTACATGTAAACAAAATGGCGGACTGCTTCTCTAAAAATCACGTAACTTTTATGTAATCTTTTTATGAACATCTTTAACATCAATAGATAACTTGTTGTTTTATATTCAAAATATAAATGAAATGTTTATTCAATTCTTTTCATTGAATTTTCAATTTCAAACTGAAATACCTTAAAATATATTTTGTTATCAAATTGTTTATCTACGTAAGTACGATATTATTCATAGAACAACCAGATCCAAGTCCAACCTACATATTCCTCAAAAAATAAATTGAATTCACAGTTTCAAAAAATAAATTCACTCACAGTTTCAAAAAAAACAATGTACTTTTCGTTCCAATAATAAAAAACTGTCACAGAAAATTATTTGTAACATCTTAAGTAACAAGTTTCCAAGAAAAAAGTACAAAATAACAACAAATAAGCAAAAGGGATGATAACAGATGGCCATAAACGTCATACTTAATATCCCCAATGGTAATTAGAAAATATTCCCAGACAGAGGGGACAAATGTGGCGGCACGAAGATTCGTGATGTACGCAAACGCGTGAACAATGTCTCCACACGCGGAATATAAATCAAACGTGAAGGATGTGTAAAAAGCTATATAGCTTGCACGACAGAAAGGAAGACGAAAAGGGACAAGAAAATGTAGCCATGAATGTACCGGCATTCCGTCTCCTGCATATGTAATGCCCATTGTCGTTACACGTGTTCATGGTGTATTTTACGTGGTAAGATTTTTCCTTTCTTTTGATAGATATTGAATGGGTAACAGGGGATGATTAACCGTTCAAAAATTACAGGAATTTCTCACCCTTTAGTGAATGACGCTATTATTCTTAATGTGGAACGGTTATGAGTCATTCGGTTAATAAAAGGATTAGGAGGTGATATTTGGAAGGCTTTCGGTTCTTAAGTTTCAAGAATGTTTCAAGGTTTTGTATGGTTCAAGGTTAACTGTATAATAGGAGAAATTTTCGGAGTTATGATTTTCTTGGGTTTATCAAGTTTCCTTGGATTTTTTAAATTTGAGAAGCACCAAGTTTTCAAGGCTGAACATTCACAAGTTTACAAATTCTGAAGTCAATCTTCAAATCTCTGTTTTTTCAATTTCTATGTTCCGAAATTGTCAAATCTCCAAATTTCTAAGGCCCCAAATTTCAAAACCCCCAAATTCCTAAATTTCCAAATCCTTGCACCCCTGAATTTCCAAATCCCAAAATTTTCAAATCTCCAGATTCTCAATCCTCCAAATTCCTAAATTCCCAAATTCCCAATTCCCCAAATTCTCAAATCTCCAAATTCTCAAATCTCCAAATTCTAAATTCCCCAAATTCTCAAATGTCCAAATTCCAAAATTTCCAAATTCCCAAATCCCCAAATTCCCAATTCCCCAAATTCTCAAACCCCCAAATTCCTAAATTTCTAAATTCCAAAATTTCCAAATTCTCAAATTCCCAGATTCCCAAATCTACAAATTCCCAAATCCCCGAATTTCCAAACCCCCAAATTTCCAAACCCCCAAATTCCTAAATTTCCAAATTCCAAAATTTCCAAATCCTAAAATTTCCAAATTCTCAAATCCCAGATTCCCAAGTCTCCAAATTCCCAAACCCCCAAATCCCCAAATCCCTAAATTTTCAAATTCCCAAATCCCCAAATTCCAAATCCCAAATAAAAATTGATAAAAGAGTAAAATCTTGCAAAGAAAAGACGTCGTGGCGACACGTCGTAAGATGGCCGCCTTATGCGCCAGACTGTACGTAAATTTGTATCAATTGCCGGTACAGCTGCTTCAATTTATTGTGGCATTAGAAACAATGAGTGGGGTCAAATGGTCCCTTCTTGTCATAATGTACCAACCCTCGTTGGCGTCTGTTATGACGTCACTCGTGTAACCAAAATTATCAGCCGTCCATTTGCTTTTTAACCGACTTGTCATTGATCATTTTTTTAGGTTAATTGTTCGTGCAGAAATGTGCAAATTAATTATCTACAACAATTGAAACTGTAACTTAACTTATGTTATGTTGATACTTATTTTATAGTTATATAAGGAAACATAGTAAATATTGCAATGGTAGTTGCAATCACATTGATTTAGAAATTTTATTTATTGTTAGGTTAGGTTATGTTTGTACAAATTTTAACTGGTAGATGAAATGTGGTAGATAGTTATACTGCATGGAACAGTAGAAGATAATTATGATACTGTATTTAATTAACTAGATAATTCTATTATTTAATATAGTATAATTATACTGTAATTTAAACTGCAATTTATGCTATAATTTATATTATAATTTATACTATAACTTATGCTATAATTTATGATCGTATAATTTGTAACTTATGATGATAATCATACTATATGAAGTAGTAGAATTATCCACTGTTAGTACATAATAGATAATTCTTAAAAAATGCCTACTTTTAAAATAGTTAAAACTCTGTAAAAGCACCTGCATTTCTAAAAACGAATCCACATAAATCAAACAAAATGTTATGTACATAAATTAATCTGTGCAGTGAAAACCTATTAATACATTCATCACAGAAAACTTGTATTCCGATTTGAATTCAAGTTTTGCAATCATAAATGCGTTACGAAATCACATATGAATTATTAACACTAACCGAGCTGTATAATTTAGAATTGAAAATAGCCTAGAAAAACAAATAAATAAACGTTGAAACATAATCGAATATACACATTAATATCTAAAAATCTGTATAAAATAAATCTATAAAATATTCTTATAAATTATTTAATGAAATAAGAAAGTGAAATTATCTGTGTTATCTTTATCTATCCACGAGCGTATAAAAGATCTCGATTTACGTCTTCAATAAATCTTTCAACTTATATTTTATAACAATTCTAAATATTGTAACTTTATATTTCACCTTATATTTCACAGAAGACTCTTTGTTATAGATTCATATTTTTATCTCCGAAAGTGATAACGAAAATTCGTGTACGTACATATACTTCGTTATCATAAATCGTAATGTAAACCGCGTTTCAAAATTTGTTTTTCTTTATCGCATCAATTGAAATCGAAAGTGTATATGGCGGATAATAACAGTCATTAATGTGCTCACGTAGTCACGCCACTTTTTCGTTTACCGAGTTCACCGAGTGAAACGAAAACAACTAATCAATCATGACAATAGTACCTCTCCCAGTGTACTTTTTTCATTCGTGATAATAAATTTTGTATAAACGATAACGAGGCGGTTGATAGCGAATTTAATCGTATTTGCTTTCTGTTTTATTAATGAACGTCTTACTGTGTTTCTGCGCGAGATATGCAAATGAAAATACTCGTTACGGTATCTAATTATTTTTTGCAAGTTCATAGTTTTTTTATGAAAATCTGCAAAATATTTGTGGTATATGTTATTAATGTGTGGGTAGAAAATGTTATTTTGTTTTAAATATTGCAAATTTGTCGGTTTGGTGAAATTAGAGGATGGGGATTTAGCGATATGGGATTTAGGAATACGGGGATTTAGGGATATGGGATTTAGGAATACAGGGATTTAGGGATATGGGAATTTAGAGATATGGGATTTAGGGATTCAGGGATTTAGGACTACGGGGATTTAGGGATTCGGGGATTTAGGAATACGGGGATTTAGAGATATGGGGATCTAAGGATATGGGGATTTAGGGGTACGAGGATTTAGGGATACGGGGATTTAGGAATCGGGGATTTAGGTATTCGGGAATTTAGGGATCCAGGGATTTAGGAATATGGGGATTTAGGAATACGGGGATTTAGAGATATGGGGATCTAAGGATATGGGGATTTAGGGGTACGAGGATTTAGGGATACGGGGATTTAGGAATCGGGGATTTAGGTATTCGGGAATTTAGGGATCCAGGGATTTAGGAATATGGGGATTTAGGAATACGGGGATTCAGCAAAACGGGATTTAGGAATCGAGGATTTAGAAATTCAGGAATTTAGGGATACGGGAATTTAAGAATCGTTTTTAAAATTTTTGTTACAAACTGAATGTTAATATTTTTCTTTCTCATATATTACAATATAAAATATAGAGTCTGGTAGATAAAAGACCAATATAAAATATAACAAAAGACTAATATAAAGACCAATATAAACTACAACATAAATACTAATATAAAATATAAAATTGATAGATAGTGTGCGTCCCTGAAGAGTTCCACAACCTAATTAACATAAACACTTACACAAACGCAACCAAGTACTACACCCAATTTGACGAACGCCCCATGTTCATTAACTCGTTATTAAGAACATAGATAACGAAGAAGTCCGGTTAAATTAAATCACGGTGCGCATTACGGGACGAAATATGTACTTCGGGCAAAGGTTCCGGCGTTTCCTGTTGGAGAAGATAAGATTATCTGGACTCGTTCAGCCTCGCGTCACCAACAGTCTCCGGGAGTCGATGATAAGAATCCATCATTTGAATTTCCAAGTCGTCGTTATAATACTTTCGTCCCTTTCTCGAGCACTTGTTAGAAAGTGCACGGGAATCTTGATTTATGGAGATGTCATAAAGCAAGGGTATCAGCTTTTGTATTCGATATTTCGACAGACGATGCTACACAATCCGGAATCCATTATAATATACATATACATAAGTATTAATATCTGATTTTGATGAATTGATCATGTGATTTGGTTATGATTTATTGTTTCCGAGATTTCAACCCCTCTTTTAGGTACACGTGCTTGTGGATTTATTTGCATATATTTACATGTTGTTAACGTATAGGTTATAACCTAAACACCTATTATAATTATTAAGTATGATTTATAATGTACAGTGCTGTTCAAAACTAATAAATATCCTATACAAAGTACGATTTTACACAAACATTATTAGAGGTTCTTTTATAAAATACAATATTACAGAAAAATTAATAAATGTTCCTGTATAAAATACGACACTACAAAAAAATTAATAAATGTTCCTGTACAAAATATGACACAACAAAAATATTAATAAATGTTGCTCTACAAAATAGGACACTACAAAAAAATTAATAAATGTTCCTGTACAAAATACGACACTATA